GATAAATTTAATTAAAATGTATGAAAATGCTGATCTACAGGTACACAAAAACTTTTAAAAACATATATAACTACTTGTGAACAATACATCAGACACTGTAACAATTTTATCATCAAAAAAAAGGTGACTTAATGTTTGATATCTATCTTGTACATCATAAATTTATGATTATGTAATTGATAAATAGCATGTATGGTTATTATTCTGCCTTAATACCGCGTAACAATGATATCTTTATTGATAGAAATCAATAAAGATAAAATCAAAACTTAGTTTTAAAAAAACGTGAAAATAAGGTATTAATTTTTATTATTAGTAAAAAAAATGTTTACACCATATAATAAACACAACAATTAATTTAACTATTAATTTTTTAAAACTTAAAAAAAATTTTTAGCCCCTTTCAGATCGATCCGAAAAGTACCATATACTTAGACGTTTAGGTAAATTACGTAATCAATATAGGTCTTAGAAATTAAAAAATTATAAAATCGTTTTCTACGTTAAAAATACAACATTTTACATATATAGATGATTATAATTGACCAAAATTTAGAATTTTAATCATATTTTAATAAATAAGGGGTATTTTTGGTAAAAATACGAAAAACGCTTTGAGCGACCTGTAAAAATTTCCATTGGACTGTCTATAATGAACACTTACATTTTTTTGTGACATTTACATATTTTTAAATAAATTTTCAAATATTATAAAAGTAATATTTTATAATGTTTGACATAACAACTGTTTAATCTTGTTATTTTTTATTATTTTAGTACTATACGATGTGTAATCAAATAATTAGCTGACTTAAAAATAGGGATGTGCGTGTATTTATAACAACAATATAATGAATTTTTATGACAAAAAATTAAGTTAACGTGTGTATTAAATTGTATGCCCATTGAAGCTATTTTGAATCAATTCCAAAATACGACTAATCTATTGTTGACTTACAAATCCCGTAACCTTCACGTTGATTGAAATCATTTGTCTAAATGAATACTGTTACATTTGTGGTTTTCAAATTATGTTACACACGACTTGTTTGGTATTGTAATTATTCATCAAAAATTTCAGTGTGTTCCTAGGTTTTAAAATATTTCATTACTATAAAATACATTCATTAGGCATTTTATGATTCTAACAGTTTTATTTTAGTGACCATTATTGTGTATAATGGAACATATATTTAAGACTAAAATTGAATGGTATTATTAAGTACTTTTGTATTTTTTCCATGTCGTTGGAAATGCTGTTAAAGATTTTTATCGCTATACTTTTTGATAGGTTAAAGGAAACTCTTTAACGTATAAATAATTTTGAGAAGATAAATTACGTTGTATCGATTAGTTCACAGAATCTTCACTGACCATAATTTGAAACAAAAACTTAAGGGTGTACAATATATAACCTTTTGTAGAAATTTTGGTGAAAAAATATAATATTATTTAAGAATCAATTATACATTTTGTACCATATATTTGTTTTTTAGTCAGATTATTTAGATAAGTAACTTGTTAAATATTGGATGTTCGTTAATTAATTCCATTTAAGTCGATTTATTGCGTTGCATAATTATATAAATTCTATTTTACTATTAAAGATACATAATACATACAAAATCTTATTTAAATAGTGTTTTATGATTGAAAAAAAATTTATTCACAACACCAAAATTAAATGAACTGGATTTTTTGATAAACTAAAAATAATATTAAAAATTTATAAATATTTACCATTATTACACTCAAGTAAGAGGAGGAGTAAGACAGAGAAATTTTTAGTGAAGGAATAAAAAAAAGCATCCGCTGTTATTTTTATTTGTTAATTATCGATAACTTCTGGAATAATAGCCTAAAAGTTGTTGTCAACTTGTAATTTTTTTAAT